AAGCTTCAGACCAAAACCTGCCAATGGTATTCCATCTCAGAGTAAAAAACCAAAATCACTGCAAAGATCTGCAAGGACATATATAATCAGCCTCCTGTCACCTCTCTGACCCTCTTTCCTACCATTCCCCTTCTCCTTCCATTCAACACACGGGCTTCCTCATACCCACCAGTACACACTCATCCCAGGGTCTTAGTCTTGTCTGGGATGCCTTCAGGACTTTGTCTGCACATCACCAGTGAAACCTTTCTGAGCAACTCCCACCTCACTGCATGTACACACACTTGCTCTCCCCCTTCCCTGCCTTGTCACCTTACCACAACTTTATTACCCACTTATGGGGTAATAAAGGGATCAAGGAATTAGAGGTTTTCATTACTTCTTTAATCTTTTTCTACTAGAATATGTACTCCATGAAGGTAAAGGCTTTGTTGTTGTTGTTGTTGTTGTTTTACTGAGAGAAAGATTCAAGCGCCCATGTGAATGAGGGACAGAGAATCCCAAGCAGGCTCCACACTCAGCACAGAGCTGGACACAAGGCCTGATCTCATGACCCCAAGACCATGACCTGGGCTGACATCAAGAGTCACACGTTTAACTGACTGAGGCACCCAGGCGCCCTGAAGGTAAAGGATTTTGTGTGCTCTGTTCACTGCTTTATCCCAAGTAGTGCCTAAAACTACATCTAGCACATTACAGGTTCTCAATATTCTTTTTTTCTTTTACTGTAGATGACCCAGTCTAACAAGATATGGCCCCTGGCTACTCCCTCTGTCCCAACTATACTAAAACCTTTTAAATATTCTCTGAGTATGCCAAACTAGTTTTTGACTCAGAGGTCTTCACACTTGTTTTTTTTTTCTGCCTGGAATATCATTCCCCAAATATTTGTATGGCTTGCTGCCCACTTCTCTATTCAAATGACACCTCCTCAGAGGCCTTAGGCTTTCCTAAGCACCACATCTAAAATAACCACCCAGGGACGACTATGTGGCTCAGTCAGTTAAGTGTCTGCCTTCAGCTCAGGTCATGAACCCAGGGTCCTGGGATCGAGGCCGGCAACGGGCTCCTTACTCAGCAGGGAGCCTGCTTCTCCCTCTCCCTCTGCTCCCCTTGCTTGTGCATGTGCACTCGCTCGCTCTCACTCTCCGTCTCTCAGGCAAATAAAATAAAATAACCACACAGAGACCAAGTATCCACACACACTCACAATGACCTCTAAGCTGACACCGTAACTGCAGAACATAATTCCATCTTTCTCACTGCAATGTAAGCTCCATAAGGAAAAAAGGCATTACCTCCTTCTTACCACTGTATCTATGACACCTATAACAAAGCCTACCATAGAGCAGGCACACAGTATTTGTTGACCAAATGAATGAATTAATAAAATGCTTAAGGTAAATTTAGCTAGTCTTTCTACAACATAGAGGAGGAAATTCTTACACTGGATGCGAAGTTGAAGCAAATACCTAATAACCCTTGGAGTTTCTTCTATCACTATTAGTCCATGAAATAAATAAGGTGAGTGAGAATGGCTAAGACCAGGTAGTGCCTTCAAATGTTACTAAAGAACGACTGAAGGATTCTGAATTGAAGGACACATTAAAAGCCATATTTCTTAATTACATTTTTGACATCCCATACAGCATTGTGTATGGATCCAAAGAAGGGAAAGAGAACAGAGAAAGAAAGATGAGATGGGTCCACTGAAGTAGACATACAGTATCACACAGGGAAGAAGAAAACATTGCTAAGCCTCTCAGTGTCGAGAGAAAGAAAAGGATTTGTACACCAATAGAACTAGAATTAGAACCCAGGCCTTCGCTCAACACCAAGCTCCCCCAGCTATAGCTCTGCCTCACTGGCAAAGCCCAAACCATGTAAGAGTCTAATACGATGCTAAGAAATAAAGACATTCCAGGAAAAAGGGGGACAAAGGAAAAACTGGCACTCAAGAAATACAAATAGCCAATAAGCACTGGAAATACTGCTCAGGCACCATAATAGCAAGTGTTTAAACAATAAATAGTTTTTTGTCTACCCCAATGATTAAAAAAAAAAGAAAAAAGAAGACTGACAAGCCCTATTGCTGGCCCAAAGTATGGTAAAACTGGTATATCCTTTTTGGAAGGCTTTCTAGCAATAGCTATTAAACTTTAAAACATATGTATCCTTTGACCCAGCAATTCCATTTCTAGAAATTCACCTTAGAGAAACAAAGGAGACAAATATAAAGCAGAGGACGGTAAATCTGGCTGCATATCATAAGCACATTAAAACAACCTCACTCCAGGCGCCTGAGTGGCTCAGTCGGTTAACCGTCTGCCTTCGGCTCAGGTCATGATCCCAGGGTCCTGGGATGGAGCCCCACATCAGGCTCCCTGCTCAGTAGGGAGCCTGCTGCTCCCCCTGCTTGTGCGCGCTCTCTCTCTGTCAAATAAAATCTTTAAAAACCAAAACAAAAAACAATCTCACTCATCACTATTAATAAAGTTTTTACTTCCAACAAGCTGGTAGAAGAATTGTTAGCCGTCAGCAATTTATAAATGAGTAATAATGAAATGAAAGTTTGAGGCTAAAAAGAAAGCAAGACAATATTTAAAGGTAACAATAGGATCATATGAAAGTTTTTTCTCAAAAGATAGAGGAATTCAAGTTTGATAAAGGGAATAAAAATCATCCGTGAATGGGGCGCCTGGGTGGCTCAGTCATTAAGTGTCTGCCTTCAGCTCAGGTCACGATCCCAGGATCCTGGGATCGAGGCCCGCATCAGGCTCCCTGCCCGGCGGGAAGCCTGCTTCTCCCTCTCCCACTCCCCCTGCTTGTGTTCCTTCTCTCACTGTGTCTGTCAAATAAATAAATAAAATCTTAAAAAAACAAAAAATCACCAGTGAAAAGGGAGATACTAAAAATGATGAAAAAAGAAACATCCTACAGTAGTGTTACTTCCAGGCGTGATTTATTAGGAAAGCTTTTATAGTATCAAATGCCCAGGTCCCATTCTGAATTAGAATCTCCAAGAGTGGAATTTAAGGATGTTAACGTAAAACCTACCCAGCTGATTCCACTAAACATCCCTGATTGAGATCCACCATTCTCCCAGAGGTTCTCAATCTTGAGTGCTCACTGTATTCACCCCAAGAGCTTTTGAAAATTACAAACAACTGAGGGGCACCTGGGTGTCTCAGTCGGTTAACCATCTGCCTTCGGCTCAGGTCATGATCCTGGGGTCCTAGGATCGAGTCCCAAGTCAGGGAGCCTGCTTCTCCCTCTGCCTGCTCCTCCCCCTTCTTGTGTGCTCTCGCACATGCGCTCTCTCTCCCTCTCTCTCTGACAAATAAATAAAATCTTTAATAAAAAAAAATTTATGTTTCAAAGGACACCATCAAGAAAGTGAAAGGACAAGTCATACAATGGGAGAAAATATTTACAAATCATATGTCTGATAAACATCCAGTATCAGAATGCAATAATTACACAAGTCAACAATAAAGACAACTAACCCAATGTAAAACATGACAGAAGATATGAATACATATTTCTCCAAAGGTATACAAATGGCCAAAAAGCACATGAAAAGATGTCAACATCATTAACTACAAGGAAAATGCAAATCAAAACCACAATGACATACCACTCCACACCCACTAGGATGGCTAAAATTAATTAAATAATAAATAAATAAAACAGCACTGACTACGATGTAGATTAGACCACCCAGAAAGAAAAAGGATTAAGAACCAAGCCTTGAGGAACTCCAAATTTAACTGCCAAATAGAAGAGAACCAGCCTATAACAGAGACCAAGAAGCAGCAACCTGAAAAGGAGAAAATCTGTAGGTGACAGAAGGCAAAGGAAGAGAACATGTCAAAGAGATCAACAAGGTCAGTGCTGCTGAATGTAGACAAAAAGTAAAGTGAATGAAAATGTCTCTTAGATTTAGTTATACAGCATGATTTGGAGAGGATGGTATTTCCACAGAATGATGGTGGCAACATTACTAAGAAACTAGGCTGCCTTTCTGAACTTTCTAATGTGTTAACACTTCATTCAAGCGTAAAAGGTTTGAAAATAAATGCGTACCTTGATTATCTGCAATTAGTCTCAAATCCTCTGGAAAGTCTGGAAAATAAAAATTGATTAGAAAAAGCGAGCTCCCAACAAGTTCACAAACCCACAGTAAGAACTCTTTAAAACTAGCTAAACGGGATTAGACTTCTTAAAAGCCTGCTTTATAGAGCAAGGTGAATAATGTTCCGTACTACTCCAACTTCTTACTGATCGGGTCAGGTGCGTTTACATCCACCATTATTTGCCGTGATGGTGATCGAGCGTCTTGCCACAGTAACGAACATTACCCAGGACCCAGCACTACAACACGTCTGCGTTACTCGAGGAATACCAACTACAAAACGGAAACTAGGCAATGAGGTAGGTATACAGATCTCCTCTCACCAGAAAAACACGTGTCGTCCCGAGATTCAGAGAGAGGTTTTATGAGTAAAAGGGAACAAAAGTGAAAAGCCACAAGACATTGGCCCTTCTAGCCAACGTGTTTAAATCCTTGAAATACAAGTCTGTGAAAGCTACACAACTGCGAAAGCCTTGTCCCATCCCACAAATTCAGCACAGAAAGTGGGAGAACAAATGGGAGTTAGATTTGACAATAAGGAACGAGGTGCCTTAAGTATTCCTTACCGCCCTCCAGCACCTAACGCTCAACGACTCTGTCCTCACTTCAGGCAGCGCTACCCGCCTCCCAATTCCCCGACCCCAGGTGGCAAGTCCCCTTTCAACTACGAAACCAGCAAACGGCCCGAGAAAGACCGAAACTGGAGAAACAAGGCTCCACCATTAAAGAAGCTCTAGCCACACTCTGCCCCACACTGATCCACCCGCCACCCTTACCCAGAGATCAGGAAACAACATACCAGTTCGAAGTGAGAGAACCGCACGCCGTTCTGCGGATACGGGAAACACTTCAGATGGAGCTCGCCATGACACATACGTCCCGCCACGTCTATTTGCGCATGCTCGGCGACGGTGGCCCGGAGAGGTCAAATTGCATCATCGCTGAAAGTGCGAGTTCAGGTCTAACTTATTTTGGTAAAGATTACACTTGGAATTCCTTTGTTTGCAAGAGTGAAAATAGACACCAAAACCTCAGGTTCTTAAAATCGATTAATACCCATCTTCTGCTGAGCTCTTACTATGTGTCAGGCACCATATTAAGCGCTTAACATAAACATTATCTCCCAACTTTATTATTATTATTATTATTATTTTACCAAAGAGGAAACAGGGAGTGTACTTATTTGCCTAAAGTTACTATACTAGTTGTGACAGTCCTCTGTGCTGAATTCAATTTTGCCCAACTCTGAAAAAACCTACTCTTTTCATTACATTTTACTTTCTTCCTCAATCTTTTGTGAAAAGAGGTCATATTGGAGAAGAGAGTAGAAAAGGACAAAAAAAACAGTTGGATTAAACAGTACAGATCATTTAACACCAAGCATTTTTGTTTTGTTTTGTTTTGTTTTTTAATGCTTAGAAGGCAGATAAACTGTAAGGCAGTTTAGCAGAAAGAACTTTCACGGAGTATACTGATTCTGACCTAGTTGCTTTCCATGTGTTTTCTCACTCTATTATTTTTTTACCCAAGACACTGTGCTTGACCTTGTTTACTGAAAGAGCATCTCCACTTTAAAAAATGAAGACAACTGGCCATGAAGAAGACAGAAATCATGAGCTTTATTCCTAGGGCAATTCCTTCTAACTGTGACCTAGAGTCCACTGCAGTCCTCACCCAGCTGAATTCGAATTGTACATTTATGTTGCCCCATCTTTTTCACTGTAATCCCACTGCCTAGCATATAATCTTCCACTTAATGGCCTCTCCATAAGCATACCTTAAATGAAGTGACTGACCCCATCCCTTTCCCTGCCAAGATCTAGTCGATTTCACTTAAAGAAATTTTACTGAGTACACATCACTTGACCTCAAGCATGATGCTGGATGCTAGAGCTAGAAAGGGAAAAATAGACAACTCCCTACCTGAAGGATATTTCCAGGTTATAGTTTCAGTAGAAAAGAGCAATCGTTGTGGAAGATGAATGCACAGGGACTGTGGAGCACAAAGGGGAGATTTCTCCTCTTACATAAGGGGGTCAAGACTCCCCATGGGGGAAGTAAGAGCAATGGTGGAAGGTATTCCAGGCAGGGAGATAGTAAGAGCAAATGTATGGAGGCCTGAAGTATAAACTCTTGTATATTATAAAAGCAAAAAGAGTAAAGGGGGGTAATGGTTGAGAAGGCTAGAGAGGCAAAATGCAGGGACCACATGAAGGTGAGCCTTGTTTGCTAAAATAGACATTAGATCAGACATAATCTTGGATGTATTAGGTAGCATGAAAGTGTCTGAGCAGATGATTCTTTCAGGGGGTTGGGTTGGAGGACAAAACTTCAGACATGAATAAATATTGAAAACCTAAATGGAATTGTTGACTGTGAGGAATGGGGAAATGGAAAGGGAGGACACTTTTAATATGAATCATTTGAAAATTCGGTGACCCTACCTCTAGGAATTTATCTTACAGAAATGTTCACAGTTATACCAAATGACATATGTGCCAGGTTATTCTTTGAAATGTTGCTTGTAATAACAAAATACTAGAAACCCTCTCTGGCTTCTCAATAGGGAATGGTTAAATATATTTATGGTATCTATACAGCTCTTAAGAAAGAATAAGGTTGCTTTTAATGTACTACCCAAGACATTGTTAAGTGGAAAAAGAAAGTTGCAATGTAGTGTTTACAGTGTATTGGTATAGTTACGGAAAATATATATATATGTAGATATATACATTGGCTACAGGTTTCCTTTTCCCTCTATGCCCTTTTGTAACTGTTATTTTTGTACCGAGCCTATGTACTACTTATTCAAAAAATAAAGATTCATTTTATAAATAAAATTAAAATGGCACTTGATAATTTATAATTTACTGGTTTATCTATTATTTTGTAGTATCAAACTCTGATTTTCCTTTATGTTAATATTTAAACTTTAAATCTTTTTTTGGTGAGATATATATAACATAAAATTTACCATTTTTGCCATTTTTAAATGTACAATTCAGTAACATTGAGTACATTCACATTTTCACACAGCCATACCACCATCAATTGCCAGAATTTTTTCATCCCCCCAGACTAATCTGTACTCACTCAGTAACTCCCCTTTCCTTCTTCCCCCCACTGCTGGCAACCATAGTTCTGCTTTCTGAGCATGTGAATTTGATTGCTCTAGGTACCTCATATAAGTGGAATCATTCAATATTTGTCCTTTTGTAACTAGCTTATTTCTCTTGGCATAATATCTTCAACCATGTTGATGTAGTTGCATGTGTCAGAACTTCCTTTTTTGCAGCTGAACAATATTCCATTATATGTATATATCACATTTTGTTTATAAATTTTAAATTTCTATGCTTTGATTCTCAATTAGATTGTAAACTTCGTAAGAATAGACACTCTATCTTGTTATTGTTTCTTCAGCCCACAAATATAATATTAAATGCTTTATAAATGTTTGGTGGCAGACAAACCAGTTTATGTGTATAGAGACACACTAAAAATGCAAGTGAATCTATAAAATAATAGTAAAGATTTTTGAGAACTTATAAGTGTGTGCCAGTAACAACAGTAAGCCCTCCATGTGAATTATCAAATGGATCCATCATAATAACTCTATAAATAATCCTATAAATTAGTAGTACTATTATTATTATTTTATCCTCCTTTTTAAGATTTTTTTATTTATTTGAGAGAGAGAGAGCATGGGGGCAAGGAGCACAGGGAGAGAAAAACTCAAGCAGACTCCGAGCTGAGCACACAGAGCCCGATGCACGGCTTGATCTCACAACCCTGAGATCATGACCTAAGCCGAAACCAAAAGTCAGCCACTTAACCAGCTGCACCACCCAGGCAACCATCTCTTATCCTCTTTTTACAGAGAAGGAAACTGAAGCTTAGGTAGTCCTACTCTGATCGTTTTTAGCAATTTTATATGAATACTTCAAAAGAAACAAACTGTATACTATCATTAAAAATGCAAATATTCACATAGAGAAAAACATTGGAGAGAAAAAAACAAAAATAAGGGAAATGTGTAATAAAATCTATAAGCCTTCAGAATGACTCCATTTTTTATGTTTGTCTTTATGGTGAAAATTGAAGAGAAAATGTAGACAATAATGAAGTTCGAATTCTTATTATCTCAGCCACTAACCAAGAAAGAATGAAACATGAAGATTATAAACATTTATGCACATATATTTTAGTTTTAGCTTATAATCTTAGCCTTTAGTTAGTATACTTATAAATTTGTACCAATCGATGTCTTTTTTACAAGAAATAAATCATGCACTTAATTCACCCTTGAAAAATGCTAAGGAGTATAATGAAATTTCTGTGTAGAATATTAGGTAAGTTTAGTAGAATGAAATTTAAAATGTATTAATCTATTTCTTATATGAGATCAGAAAAGTATGAGTGTTCTCAATTTTTAAAGTTCAGCAGGTCAACACATATTACGTGAACGTATTGTTTTTTTGTTTTTTAAATTTTGTTTATTTGTTTGACAGAGAGAGACACAGCAAGAGAGGGAACACAAGCAGGGGGAGTGGGAGAGGGAGAAGCAGGCTTCCCGCAGAGCAGGGAGCCTGACGCGGGGCTCGATCCCAGGAGCCTGGGATCATGACCTGAGCTGAAGGCAGACGCTTAATGACTGAGCCACCCAGGCGCCACCATGTCAATGTATTGTTATTTATGATAGCTTCAAAGCTACCTGTAATTTCATAAGCAAAAAGAATGAAGGGAGCACATGAAAATTGATGCTAGACCAGGGTTTTTGGTTGGATCTGATTGTCAGAGTAAACTCCCCACCTGGAAACTATACTAGGAAGGCTTTTCAGGTGTTGGTTTTCATAAAGAATTGAAGATCAGGAAATAACTTAGGACATTATCACAGTATCTAAATACAAACCCAAGGAGAAAGATGGTGACAGTTGAAAGTATGTCAAAAGAAACTTTGCCCCAAATAGGTGAAGGCTTCAATGGGGAGAATAAAAAGGAAAGACGCTGATATTCTTAAGTAAACTGAAAAAAGATTATATAAAAACATGATGTGAAATATATTAACCTGCTGAGGGCTTTGAATGAATGCTGAATTTTCTCCGTGTCATCTAACCACTAGGGGTCAGAGCACTATACTTGCAATAATAGCAGCTTTTTCTATTCTGTCGGTTTGCACAAATAGATTTGGCTCAATCCTGTAATTAATTTTCTCTTTTGATTCTTCCACTCTCAGTATGAGTGGTTTGGGGGCTGTGCCTGTGGGCCAGGCCAGAGCACTGAGAGGCCCACATCCCCTTGCCGCAGGGCAGGTAACCCATGCTAGGCCAGGGTGATTTCCGGGCTCTTTGTCCACCAGGAGAACCTGCAGCCAGAAGCTTCTAAAACTACCAGGTGGAGAACACCTGCCTGGGGCCCAAGCTATTTCACAGGAAAGTAGATCTGAATGATGAAGGAATAAATCAGTAAGTTCTGAGGACAACTATCAACCCCCCTACATCCAGCTTGCTTGAAGCGAGGTTTACTTCTGAGCTATTTAGTTTCATGAATAGGTAAACTCCCCCTTTTTATTTCTTAAGCTAACTTGAGTGGGTTTCTTTCAGTTGCAACTGAAAGAGTACTAGCTAAACTTCTTGGTTTTACATATTATCTTGATTTAAAACAAACAACAAAAAAAGATAATTTATATCTGTTGTCTAACTCCCTGATTACTTGTGTCTGTGGGAGACAGGATGTTTTTTCTGTCTTTCAGTAATATATAACTAATATATAATAAACTTATTAAGTCATAGAATAATAGATTTGCAGTGTATATAGTGTACCTGAAATTCTCAGACTAAAAAAAAAAAAAAAACAGACACAATTTCTGCCCTCTTAAGAGTTTACATGCTAGCAGGTAGAGATAGATGATACACAGTAAATATGAGATAAATAAAAATTATATGTT